AATAGAATAGAATATAATATAATATGTGGGAAGCCAAGTTCCGGAAGGTGGGCGGTTTCTCCACGCTGGAGCCTCTGCGGAAGGCGGACTTCGCTGCGCTGGGCTTCCGAGCCATGGCCACTTGCAGTGAGCGGTTCAGGATTTAGGGATTAGTATTCAAGAAGAACCGCACCCTGGACCCAATAATTTTTTGGGCAACTTTGCATGTTCCGTCCTAGTCGCAGGTGCACAGGGCTCTTGCTTCAGACGGCCCTTGGAAACCACGTTCGGCGCAAGAGTCAGATCAAAAATGGCCAGAATAGGCAGGATACACGGAAAACGAAGAACTCCAGTGGGTATACATACATCAGTACACCGAAGAATCTAGTCACTAACAGCAGCACTACGACGAATGCAAGGCACGAGGGAAGACACACAGGAACACCAGGCAGAACAGCAGCGACACGCATGAACGGTAAAGGCAGTGTGGATGAACAGCATATGACACCCAGAACGACAACAACTAGTGCCAGCAGTACTCATGTAGAGTGACGTCGGCAGATCGTGTTGCAGCTAAGGTGACTGGCACTCTGGCCTGCCTGATGACTGGCTGCATCGCTGGAATGTTGGTTGACGGACAGTGACAGAAACATGAGCGTTATCTACATTCCGATCACAACGCTAACGAGTAGCTAGGCGTAATAGTAGTGATAACTACCTGACGATAGTACCGAGAAGGAGATACTCGCTGTTCTGGAAACCCCAGCATTGACAACACGGGGCCGGGAAGGCGGCATATCGTAGGCTCTGGCTCCTTGCAGGAGCAAGCTTTGCATGCGCCCGTCGAACAGAAGGACACAGTCTTTTCCACATGGGCTCTATCGAAGATAGACCCCATCCTCGAATTACCTGGAACGGCCTTGAAACTGTACAGGCTTCTTGGGTTCTTGAAGTGCGAACCTGCTTGAGGCAAAGTGCCGCATAGCTGCATGAGGCAATCGGGACTTGTAGAGTGCGCATCAGTCTTGCTGGAGGTCCTGATTATCACCACTGGGTGAGATTATATGTAGGAAACTGCATTTTTGATTGTTAATTAGGGCTCAGGGGGTTATGATGTCGAGCCCGGCTAAAACAGTTCTCCTCAAACACGAAGCTCAATACCTACGCCCAAAAGCGGTCTTGTCCGAAAGGCAGCAATTGCTTCGTAGCTAAAACCCTAAACCCTAAACCCTACTCCCTGAGCCTTAAACCCTACCTCCTAAGCTCTAAGCCAGAAAAAAAGAGTTTGGGGTGTTCCTATTTTGGGGGACTTTAGGATATGAGCTCCCTAAGCCTTCAACCCTAAACCCGAAACCCTAAACCCAAACCCCGTAGACCCGGGAGGCTGGGCATTGCCAGGCAAAGCTGGTGCAGGGAGCATGGTACACAGCTGTCTATCTATCCACCAATCGAATCTAATCGAACCTACACTAATCTATCTATGTATCGATCTATGTATCTGTCTGTCTACCTATCTATCTATTTATCCATCCATCTACTGGTCTACCTACATGTACAGATACACACATACCTACATACCTACACACATACATACATACATACAGAAATACATACATACATACATACATACATACATACATACATACGTACATACATACATACATACATACATACGTACATACATACATACATACATACATACATCCATACATACATAAGCGAATGCTAGCTGCTAGCAGAGACAGGTATGAGAACTGCACATGACCCTTGCAGAAAAGGCTACACATACAGATTATGTATGTATTTTGAAACAATCCAGCACTACCTTGGGAATTCCTTCCCATACTTATAGCATTTAGTCATATACCACCAAACCGTATTCTGACTGTTAAGGAGCCTATATTCTATATATTTTGACGGTTTAGGGTTTAGGGTTTAGGGTTTCTGACTGTTAAGGACCCTATATTCTATGTATTTTGACGCAGTCCACAAGGGACTGCATCGTTTGCCGAGCTCCCGGCGGCTGCCGAAGCGACCGAAAAAACCCACAGCTGGTCCAGTTCCCAAAGCCAAGCTGGTCGAAAACCCTAAACCCTAAACCCCTAAACCCCTAAACCCCTAAACCCTAAACCCTAAACCCTGACCCTACTGTGTACCCGCTGTTTAGTGTTCAGGGTTTAGGGCTACTAGGGTTCAGGGTTCTGGAGATGATCAGGGTGTAGGGATGCTTGCGGTTTAGGGATGTTCAGGGTTTAGGGTTGAGGGATGTTTACGGTTTAGGATGCTTAGGGTTTAGGGCTTGGTGTTTAGGGTTCAGGGATGTTGAGGGTTTAGGGATGTTGAGGGTTTAGGGTTTAGATTTAGGG